AAATGATTTTAGTCATATAATTTATTGTTATAGCTTCTTTTGACTTATATTATCGTAATTATCATACGTTTTTACGGAATGTCTATTGACAAAATCTCGTTAAAATGGGATTTTTGCCTACAAAAACAGCGAATTTCGAAAGCCCGATTTCCAGGTAACTCGCGAAGGTACAACTTTGAACTAATATTACAACAAATTTATTTCTAAGTAAGAAGATAGAATGTATTCATTAGAATAAGCATACCCTGAAGAAGAAAGTGTATTGAGAAAATTTTGATGTTTAATTCATTAAAATGCATTTTTATCATAATTTGACAACCTTTGTTGGAAACATTATTCAATGAAAATATTGTCCGAACCCTTGGTATTTCTCTTCGACAAATACTTTAACACATTGTGAACCACTTTTCTTTCACGACTATAAAAAGATTTTAGCAATTTCATTCACAAAATCAATTGCGCACATTTAAAATAAAGTTTGTTTACACTTTGACAGCAATAGACTGACATGCAAGGTGACATATCAATGAAGTTTTTAGTTATTGTTGCCATTAAAAGAAATTAGTACCATTAGATTTCCGCAACATGGCGAGGGTTTTTATGTTCCTGGTCAGGCTATACCTACTTCATCCTTTAAAGAACCGAAGTTTGATATATTTGCTTTATAAAATGTATTTCCATATTATATCCCTTCAAAAACTTTTGTATTGAATATCTGAAATCACTGTTTAGTGTATACAGTGTGAGTCACGTTAAAGTGTACATATGAAAATAGATAAAACTAGACCTGTTTTTATCGACAAAAAAGAGGTCAAAATTTTTTTGAGATTTTTTTTTAATTTTTTATAGAATTTTTTTTCTTCTATTTACTTATTGTAAAGAAAACGTAATAACTTTTAAACTAAGCGGTATATCCTAATAAAATAAAAACAGTAATAATGCTAAATAACAGGCAATACTAAAAAAATACATAAAATACACAAAAAAGGCCAAAAAATAATAAAAAATTATACTTTTTGAAGAAAATCTGCGTAAAAATTCGTGTTTTTTTGGTTATTTGATAAATTTCTCCAAAAAATGCCCCTATAACCGGTGGTTTTTATTACTTTGTATTGTTCTCTATCGTATTATCTTTGTAAAACCAAAAATCGCATGTCTCTATCCGTGTATGATATGTTTATTTTATTTTTAAGCTTGTAAGCGCTTTGGATCTGCTCTGTAAGCTTACAAGTGTTTTGCATTAATAAATAAATAAACTAAGTTGGTTAGGTATTTGTATTGTAGATACTTATACAAATGAACGTATAAAATGAGTTTATTTTTAAAAGTATAGGTACAGGGTGGAAACGATAAGTGATTTCACTTGATTTTTAACTATACAAGATATCGAGAAACTGTTTACTGTTCCTGTAAGTGCTTCATGAGCTCTTTAAAACAATAACAATAAATAGGTCAAAGAATAAACTGGATCTATGCGAAAATTCAATGTTTCCGAATTTCATACTAAATGTATGCCGCCAGCCATATTATAGGTGTTAATTTTTTAAAATTTTAATTTTTGTTTGAGTAATATACAGGGTGGCCAAAACAGTGAGGTCTAAAAGAAAAATTTAGATTCCTTACATCGAGGTGTACCTAAATCACCCCCATGTATGTAATACGATTGTGCATCGTTTAGGAGATAGAGTTAATTTTGTGATATTTTCAAATTTTGTGACCTAGTAGGCTTTAAACATTTTTATCTTTATTTTGGGTTGACTTTTTTCGGATTTCTTTTTTTCGACAGATTTGTTATTAATTGCAGATGTTTGAAAAAAATAATCACCTTCCTATCTTTGATTCAAGATACAAAAGTTTTGCTAGAAACATTAAAATTATGCTTTTATCAGAACACTATGAAATTTACAACTTAAAAGTTTAAGTAAAAAAAAGAACTTCCATAGGTTCCAAAACCATTTTAAAAACTGCGCCGTTTCCTGAATATTCATAATAATACAAAAAAACATGTACTTAATGGGCCACTATTTCCTGTAATCGGTCCACTAAAGTGGTAAGTCAGAGTTTCCGTTACATGTTTTTGACTTTCTTAGAGTGAATTAATATTGGGAATCCTCTAAGTTTACATTACGTAGAACAGATTTAGAGCAGTAACTGGACATGTTTTTATTCTCAACGAGGAAGCTCTTGCCCTTCATCACACCTGGTGGAAACTGATGATTAGGCTGTAGGTGGAAGGGAACTTTAACTACTAAGGAACTATGGCTTCCTATCTCCAAATGCCTACTAGGTCATAAAATTTTAAAATATCACAAAATTAACTCTATCTCCTAAACTAAGCACAATCGTATTACATACATGGGGGTGATTTAGGTACACCTTGATGTAAGGAATCTAAATTTTTCTTTTAGACCTCACTGTTTTGGCCACCAAACAACAAACTCGTAAATTGCATTCTTATTTAAATTATTTACAGAAAACATGATTTTAGGTTTAACTTGCTACAATATCATCAAGAGATACTAATTAATAAATCCCAACTAATATTATAAATGCGAAAGTAACTCTGTCTGTCTGTCTGTCTGTCTGTCTGTTACGCTTTCCCGCTTAAACCTCGCAACCGATTTTGATGAAATTTGGCATAGAGATAGTTTGAGTCCCGAGAAAGAACATAGGATAGTTTTTATCCCGGTTTTTGAAACAGGGACGCGCGCGATAAAGTTTTTCTGTGACAGACAAAATTCCACGCGGGCGAAGCCGCGAGCGGAAAGCTAGTACTAAATAAACAGATAAAGGGGACGGCATTAAGGCACTCACAAATTCTCAGAAACCATTGATTTCGTGTTTATTTGTAACTGTATTAAATGTATGAAAGCTGGAAATATAGGTTTTTTGAATAGATTCAGTTCGTTCTTAAACATATTATTGATGCCGTTTGCTAGGTCTCATGAAGCACTTTTTCAGTAAGTAACCATTTGTTCGACTTCTTGTATACCTACTATAAGAAATATTCGAGTGAGATCACTTATCGATTAGTTTCGATTAGCCATTTGTTCGACATCTTGTATACCTACTATAAGAAATATTCGAGTGATCGATTATTTTCCTCATCCTTATTTGTATTAAATTTAATTAAAATACACTAAGGCTGAGATGCACCACCTAACTTTGACCCTAACTTACAATAACCGGTGTTTTATGTTAGACAGATTTTTGACATCCAAAATTTTGAAGTCAATGTTAAAGTAAGACGGTGCAACACGGCCTAACAAATGTATCGTAGACAATACTTTTTATTTTCTTCATAAATCTTTCTTTTCTTTGTAAAGCTATCTACAAGCTTTTATTTTCTTTGACGTCTGGAGTTGTAAAATCTTGCAACTTAAAATTTACTTCCCGTTTTCCCATTGAGCTGAAATTTTGCATGTCTACACACAGGCATGCAAAATTTCGTTTCATTTCGCACTAAATAATTTAATTTACACGTGTTTTTATGCGATGACCAAGTCAATATATTTATGTAAAACGTCAATGATTTCCTGGACTGGACTTGGTATTACATGGATCTCACAACTTTTTACCGTAGAACAACTGAATAGTGAGACTTGGTTTTTTGACAAGTATTGTTTTTGATGAGTTTGTATTACAGAACGCATGTGTAACTAATGGGATAACTGTTTAAAAACACGATTAGATAAATTTTGCTCTATGGATAAAAAAGTTACCTCTGATTTTTTTGCATTATACGACCGTGGTTTATAATAATAAATTCTATAAAATCACAATGATATCAGTATTTACCTCTTTGATTTCCTGACGGTTTACGGTTTAAGAACTTTATTTCAATAATTCACTTCAAATTCAAAATTCAAATTCAAATATTTATTTGCACAATTTTGGGTAAACATAGTGGTCTTAAAACTAGTATAAGTAGATCGCCAAAATTTGCTGTATAATTAGTCAGCGTACAAATATTTAAATAATTTCTACAAGAATAAATTACAAATATTATGTCATTTACTACATGAAAATAATTAAATATGTCAGAAATATAAAAAATAAAACAATGTCAAAACAATCAAAATAAATTAAATCAAACAATAAAATAATGCCATTAAAAGAATAATTAAAAATAAGTAATAAATGTCATTTTCGATTGAAATATTCATTCATAGTATAAAACGTATTTTCTAATAACCATGCATGCAATCTGGTTTTATATAAAGGCCCTGCAAGTGTCCTAATTTCTTCGGGTAAAGCATTATATACTTTCACCGCCATTGAAAATGCATTCTTATTACTTAGCGTTAGTCTACAGAAGGGGACTTCAAGCAATCCTGTAGGGCGTTTTCGAAGAGATTTCCCTTCAAATGGCAGTTTTAAAGAAAAAAATTGGGAATGTTGTCTTACAAACAAGCAAATTTGTTTAATGTAAAGGCAAGATAATGTCAAAAGTTTAAAACGTTTAAACAATGGTCTGCAGNTATTTTTCATAAACAAGCTTTTGATGCTGTAAAAAGAATAAAATAAAACATAAATTCTTTCAAACCCATAAACTTATTACTTTACTCAATTTAACGATTAAAAACTTGTCGCGGGATTTACTAGTGTAAAAATACATTAATTACGTAACTTGATTTTGCTAAAAGTCTGATCTGAAAAAATCAAGTAGGTAAATTATACATTATTTCTTTATTATTATGTATGATGTACTGTCTTAGGTACGATACAACTACGGATTAAGATCGTTTAGTCGACGCAGCGTTGAAATTGTACAGATAAATGCAGTTTGCGCACTCACTACGCGACGTCAAGCAATAAAAACCTAGAATTCGAACGCCAACTTTTTGCTACAACGCTCTTAAGCTTAGGACCGATTCGGGCGCACTGTGGCAGACGAGGCGAAGAAGATCGGCAAGACTTGGAGTGAGATCAAACACATAGCTCAAGACCGAACGCGATGGAGGACTGTTGTGGACGCCCTCTGCCCCATCTAGGGGACATAAGGTTTAAAGATTCTTTATTTCTCAATAAAAACATAATTGTCACTTACTTGAGAACAAAATTAAACTAAGTATGATTTACATTTGAATCGTTCGCACCGATATGTTTTATAAAAAGCATTGGCTTTAGCAAATTATACCATCTGATTGGCGATAAAAAGTAAATCAGTATAATATAGGTTCAAAACAAATATAATTTTCTAAATTGTAAATATTAGTTTTAGACATTAAATTTAATAAGTAAGGCTCATTCTACAACGTCATGAATATGTAGGGCAAGACATAGGACCATAAGTCAAGTCAAGTTAGGACCGATTCGGATAATCGGCGTTCTACTGTACGTTTAAAGTTGGTATTTATTAACCGCAAGCGCAGTGTACAGTGTAGTTACCTGTGCAACGCCATCTAGCGGCGAGGCGGCGCCGGCGGCGAACGACACGGAGAGCGTGCGCGAGCGCGACCAGCCGCGCTGAAACACACGTGCGCAATGCATGCAGGCGATGCCACGGCTGATTCCGACATGCATGGGGCCCTGTCTCGATGCTGGGTGTTTTTTTATTATTATTTTGTGCGATTTAGGGCTCACGGGTCAAAAGTGGCCTGTTCTTTATAAGGCTTGCGTGGGGATACAGATCTAACACTTCCAAGATTATTATTATTAATTTCTGTCTAAAGCCTGGTCCGTGAGCACGTAGAATCCCGTCCAATGACCCCAAGCTACCCATCCCTTTCGCTCGCGCGTAATTATGTTGCTGTCGCGCTCGCACACTCACTGGGGGCGCCCGTCGCACAGTCGCCACGGACCAGGCTTTAGATACTCTTGGTATGTTATCATGTAGGTTTATAAAAGTTTTATTATTATTGAATCCAGCATCATTGAATGCTGGTTGTTTATCTCATAGTATCTATCAGACAAGTTAGACTTAATTTTTTATTATGCAGTCGGTTAAAATGCTACTACGAATTTAGGCAAAGGTCAAGTATAGGTTCCAGCCTTTGATTGGTCCAAATATTGTCAATCAACAAATCACAGGTGAATCTGTCAGTGACTCAAGAATATATTGGTGGTTGAGTCATACTTGAATGGAGTGTCATGATACGGGATATAAAATCTGACACGCCAGACAAGATGGAGGCTTGAATTTTTAATTCGACTACTGGGACATATCTGCCTGGCCCATGTATGCCTTTAAGAAGCCAAAGTGTAGTCATTTTATAGTTCGCGCTTTTTTATTTTGGGCTGAATCTTCGAAGTGATGGGTGTTAAAATTTACCAGCAAAGAGACGAGAGAAATGTGATGAGATCGTGAATTTACCAATTCTAACAAGGCTATAAGAATTATCAAATCAAAATCAGCATAATAAAATTATAGGTTGATTGTATATTAAAACAAAACTATGTTGTTGATAACCTTACAACCTTGTTGGAATTAGTAGCATATTATGTTCCACATTTATACGACATTTCCGTAACCTCAAAAATTAATTATTGGCCGCATTCATATTATGGCCTTCGCTTGTTCTGACCTGCGGGGCTCATATTTGAATAAATTTTGAAAACCGTGTATCCAATTGGGTTTCAATTCAATATAAAAATCTTGTTTTACATGGACACATAGTATCACCAGTCACAGTTCAAAGTGTAGGTGAAAAGCTACTGATATAATAATTTGGTGCCATTTAACATCGCAACTGAAAATAGAGATTATTCAAATGCCACATCCACCATTTTAATTTTTAATTTGCGCTATGTTACAAGCCAATATAGCACGTAACACATATACACATATTCATCATTCCTATATTAATACAACTATTCACCCGACCCATAACACGTGAACAATCTAGGCTATTTAGAATCAATATGTTTTATTAGAGGTTAACAGTGATTTAATTTGTGCCTCTGTTTATTGGTAACATTCACGTGTCTGGCAGTGATGCGGTTAAGACATTTTTAAATGAGAGTAAATTGTTAAAAAATGTATCAAGTTCCTAATGAAACTATTCGGGTATTACAAGAACATACCTACACTGGAGTTCAAAAATTTAATGGGAAGACTATGTACAATTGTATATCCCATGTGCTTATCTTACCTGCCTTGATAAACTGTCTTCATCACCCTGTGAACTTCGAACGTTGTATGTGCCACCAATACATCTGAAAACAATCAAGAACTCGTTATATTTTGTTTGAAAAAAACTAAAATAAAATCACTGGAGATTTTTAATCTCAGCTCACATTAGAAGCTTACATCAACCCGATTGCCTGAAATAGAAATGTGCTTCTCAGGGCAAGATAAGTCGGCGTCACAGGGTCAAATTATGTCATGTAAGATGTCATTGACACGATTTTTGTGACCTCTTTTGTCATTTATACTACACGATAAAAGAAGATTTAAAGTAAAAGGGCATTAATTACCTGACAAGATGAGCCAGAATCGCCTTGACCCATCTAATTTTCCCGCTGTTGAGCAACTCCATAAGTTGTTTCGGGTGGTATTGAGGTAGCACGGGGCACGCCATTTGCGACGCCTCAAACAGGCCGTAATCCGGCATATAGTCCAAAAGTGGCTGAAAAAAAAATAGATAAGTTATAAATTTTCTTATAATAGGCTTTTAAAAAGCGCTTATCCACGTCTAAATAATTTTCTTTAAGGTAGTCTTTGACTAGCGACACGAAAGAAAAGCAAATCTAATGCTTGCGGGGCACAGACGTGACGATGCGATGTCGTGTTTATTTCAGACTTGCTGGAGTTTATGTAATACTTATTAGTTAATTTACTGCACGATATCATTGACAGTTCTCATTATCACGGCGTTACCTGTGGCTGATCTGGTTGTGTTTTGTTCCGCCTTCTTGCGTCTCTTTCCAATAGCTGTAAGTTGATGGACGACACTCGTTGCAAATGTGGTGCGGACACTCGGAGGTCAGAATCACGGAGTGCCCGGGATTCACTGCCTTCTTCTAGCTCCTAGAAAATAAATAGTGCAAAATAGGATCCGGCAGGATCTTAACCTAAGTAAATAACAAAAATATCGGTTCATAATCATATCGGTTAAAAAGTTTAAGCCACGATAGCCGAACGGTGAAGGAGTCGGACTGTCCGACTCGTGATCCGAGGAAAATTGAAGTAAATATAGTTCCAAAATACTGAACTGTTCTATGCATGACATTGACAGTGGGGCGCTACCGTCAATACCGGATCGCTGGTTCCGATTCTTGCCATGTTGGAAACCATATAGTTGAACGATGGTATCGCCCCCCTGTCATTGAGTTTGGTGGGACAGTTCAGCGTGGGTTATCTATACAATAAATGATTGTCACGTCACTCATATTACCAGTCATACTTATTTTGGGCATGTTTACAATTATTTTAATTTAATTAATTATTTAAAAAAACAATAAATACCTGACGAGTCAATATTTGAACATACCTGTCCTCCATGTAATCCAGAAGCCATTTGCTGGTGCTCAGGCTTCCACTGCGAGTAGACGTGCATCTCAGAATCCATTCCCACGACAAGTATACCGTCTCGCACCCACGAAATCTGCATAGGCAGCGGTGGTAGACCGTCTGCAGTCTTCAGCTCTATGCGGCGAAGCTGCATCCATCGGATCTCTTCCACGAATAACGGGGCAGCTAAGGACGAAGCCTTGCGGAGAATAGGCCGGTTGTTGTTGATGGATTCTTTCATTGCCTGTAAAGATATCAAAGTTTTGTATTCGCTGTTCAACCAAACATGAATCTAAGAGCAGACTCGAAATAGTTGCATCGTCTTTTTTAATAGCAAGTTTTTACACCAAATCCGAATACCTCCGGGAGCAAAATATTACTCGTTATAGATACAAACATTAAATGACTTTATGCACTTTATGTATTCATATTTTACGTATCTACAAGTTTATCTATCTCTGTAAATGGCGTGTTCGTTAAACAATAAAGGGCTGATTTTTCAATCGTCAGATATCTTCTAACTGAATACTGAAACTGGCAATGTGCCAAACTTATTCTTCAGGTACAAGTTATCCGACGATTGAAAGAAAAAAAGATATATTTACTACCATGGACTTCACACAAATACAGGCAATTACATAGACATGACAGTGGCACATAATAAAGGAGAAAAAAATAAAAACAAGAGTAAACGATTGAAAAATCAGCCCTAAATAAGACGTCCCATTTCTATTGGCTTCTTAAATGTTTTTCATGACAATACCTTCAAATTGGCTTGCGCAAGATCACTGGAAACAGGCGTGAACAGCAACACCCTAGACCCCACGGCGACCGTCAGAATATGCGAGCCGTCCTCCTTCGACACCCAGTCCAGTTGCACGAGGTGTTTCTGTGTCAACGGACAAGTGTTGCCGTTCTCCATGATGCTCCGCCGTAGAGACTGGAGGGTGCTGAAGGACGGGACTGCGAGGAGACCCGTGGTCTTGCCCGGGTCGCCTTCGCCGTTGCGGCTGTGGCTGCGCTCTTCGGATGACAGGGTTTGGAGAACCTGGGAAAGGGGATCAGGATTAGAAATTAATTCAAGCTTATTATTTATTAATATTCTTAACTTCCTAATATACAGAAGAGACCACTAGATTTTACAGTACTCCGAAATATACATAGTAATTTAAGTTACATATAGTCGAATTTTATAAAAATCACCTGCATCAGGCGTTGTTTTTGAATTAGCTAACATTCTTATAAGTGATCTTTAGAAGCATGTCTGCTTGGCCAAAGGCCTTCGGCCAACGAGTACTATCAGAAATACGGGGTCATCTTGCTTGTATTATTTTTATCGTTTCGTTTGCTAAAGTGGTTTACACTGGTAGGCTAGATTGATTTTTTTTAATGGTGTGTATGGTGCATACCTCTGGCAGTCTGACGTTTCTAAGCGGTATCGTATCTTCTAGGAGCCATTCGGCGCCGCCGGTACTCTCGCACTCATAAACCTAAGATAGCTCGCTATAAATGTACTGACCTGTGTCAACCTTTGCTTCTTCTGCATGAAGGAGGTATCGTGAAGATACGAGAGGTCAATCTGCGTGTCAGCACACACTTCAACACGGGGTAAGCTGACGTTTCTAAGGGGTATCGTATCTTCTAGAAGCCATTCGGCGCCGCCGGTACTCTCGCACTCATAAACCTATGGTAGCTCGCTACAAATGTACTGACCTGTGTCAACCTTTGCTTCTTCTGCATGAAAGAGGTATCGTGAAGATACGAGAGGTCAATCTGCGTGTCAGCACACACCCCTACACGGGGTAGGCTGACGTTTCTAAGTGGTTTCGTATGTTCTAGGAGCCATTCGGTGCCGCCGGTACTCTAGTACTCATGAACCTATGGTAGCTCGCTACAAATGTACTGACCTGTGTCAACCTTTGCTTCTTCTGCATGAAGGAGGTATCGTGAAGATACGAGAGGTCAATCTGTGTGTCAGCACACACTCCTACTCGTGGTAGACTGATGTTTCTACGGGGTATCTTCTGGGAGCCATTCGGCGCCGCGCGTACTCTCGCACTCATGGACCTATAGCTGGCTTTAAATGTACTGACCTGTGTCAACCTTTGCTTCTTCTGCATGAAGGAGGTATCGTGAAGATACGAGAGGTCAATCTGCGTGTCAGCACACACTTCGACATGGGGTAAGCTGACGTTTCTAAGCGGTATCGTATCCTCTAGAAGCCATTCGGCGCCGCGCGTACTCTCGCACTCATGGACTTATAGCTGACTTTAAATGTACTGACCTGTGTCAACCTTTGCTTCTTCTGCATGAAGGAGGTATCGTGAAGATACGAGAGGTCAATCTGCGTGTCAGCACACACTCCTACGCGAGGTAGGCTGACGTTTCTAAGGGGTATCGTATCTTCTAGGAGCCATTCGGCGCCGCCGGTACTCTCGCACTCATACACGCAAACGCAGAGGTTGACGAAGCGCGCGTCGGTCAGGTTATTGGCGGTGGTGTTGCCACCTTTAGGGCGGGTGAAGGAGCGTCCGCATTTGTACGCGCACGCTATGCGGCCGGAGTATGCCGCGCTTATGTGGAGGGGTTGCCCTATGAAAAAATATATGAATGTGTTAAATGTGAGTTGGTTTTGATATTGTATATCTTTTACAATGAACGAACAAATTCAATTTTTGATAGCCGGTTGTAAATAATAAATACAAACAGTTACCTGGAATGTCTATTGCCGATTCTTGATCTTTGTTCATCATTTCCCATTCTTTCCAAGTATATTCAAATTCATTGTCGTCTTTCTTCGTGACATTACATTTCCAGAATCTAGGAACAAAATAATACAGGATTAGTAAAATATAGAAGTATTTTATACAATACAATTCATACCGCAATACCACCAAAGTGGGATAGAGCATTTCGAACTCAAACATTTGTTTGTAGAGGAACATTTCTCTCTCTGGCTCAGTAGTAAAGCTGTCAGATACTAATCTGCCAGTGCAGTAGTAACACAAACATTATTATGTGAAAAATATACCTCAATGTGCTATCAGAACAAGCCGTGGCCAAGATGTAGGGCGCCAAGCAAGCTGGGTATATCGACGCCGAGCTGAGATGGCCAGCGGCTGGCGTCGCGTGTATTACGTCCACGCCGTCAGGAAGGGATAAGGGACATTCGCACACCTGTGGACAAAATGTGATGTCAATCCTACAAATTAGAACTTGAATAATGACATTAAATTCGCCATAAGCATCAATTCTATAATCAAATCAATAATACGGCATTCAAGACTAATTAAAATAAAATAAAATTTACAAGCACCCAATATCATAACGAAGAGTAAACTCAGATGCCAGGAGATATTGGTAAGTGTTTTCCACAAGAAAATGAGCAACACAAAATCGGTGAATAGGATCAATCAAAATTTCTGACTGTTAACTCATGATTTAGATAGAAAATACAGCTCTAGGAGTACTTTTTCAGGAATAAATAATATGCTTTGCTAATTCACGAACCTTGGATACAATTTCTATTTTAATATAAGATTTTAAGCTTTCGCGTTCCATTTCAACTAAAATACCAGTCTGCATGTGACCACGGCTGCAGCATCGCAGCCGAAACGTCAATCCGTGAGTACATAATGTAACTCATTAATAAACGTCGCGTTAAGACCCGTGTCTTACTATTTTAATTTCTATTTTGACTTACCTTTTTAGTAGATATGGAAAGATGATCGTTAACCGGTGGAGGCGGCGGCACCCGATCTTGGTCAAGCGACACAGAATTCTTCCGCGATTCACCTTCTTCTTCTTGTACAAGTGCACTATCTGGCACGTACATCATACTGTTTGTGAGATCATCTGAAAAGTTATTTCAAGTTAAATTATGTACCTTATAAGATCTTCAAAAGGTTGCTTTTGCACCAGAGATATGCAGCGAAAATTGGCGGTGTGCAATAACGTAGAGAATTTGTGAAAAAGTATGGATTCCTCCTGAAGATATGTGAGCAAGATGATTACGTAGCTTAGTGCATATCTGGTCAAGAAGCAGTCTAAATGATCTAATTAACAAGTTAAATAACGTGATCTAAGTCGCCGAATTCTGATTTAATCTCAATTTTTAGAACCAATAATCCTTTTATCCAGCAATAGAAATCATTTGGTTGAAACGGCTTTTTATCAATGGTACTCACCATTAGCATCAGCCTGTGACGACACAGTGAGTCTCCACATATGCACGGTGGATCCTCCATCAGTCCTTTCCAGCACCACGATATAGAACGGCTCGTTGAACACAGCAGCCTTGCGGAGGTCTACTATCGCTTCCAAACCAGCTTCTGTGATGGTATGCACGTCAGAGCCTTCCACGCCTGAGTCCGAACTATCAGTGTCCGGAGAGGTACGCTCGCCTGGAAGAGTAATAACTCATTAAATAACCAGCAACTTTAGGTAAAATTCATTTTTCGATTATTATTTGAAAATAAACCTCCACATTTGAAACCTTCATCATTTCAGTCACTGAACGTTCACTGCTTAACATAGGCCTCTCCCAATGATTTCTATATTGCCCGGTTGGTAGTGGCCTGCATCCAGCGCCTTCCTGCTACCTTTATGAGGTCGTCAGTCTAAATTGTGAGTGGACGTCTCACGCTGCGTTTTCCTTGATACATTCGTTTATTATATTTTTTTCTTCACCTGTAATAAGTTGCTCTTGGAACACGTGTAGTAGCTGAGTGTTGTGCCAATCATGAGTGGCATCGGCGATCGCGTGCAACTGTATGATGGCGCCGGGCCGCGCCGTGGCATGTTGCGATACGATCTTGGCCCAGTCATGGAGAATGCACTAACAGAGCCATCTTGTGTGACGTCACTAGAGTCACTCACTTGTAATAAGTTGCTCTTGGAACACGTGTAGCAGCTGAGTGTTGTGCCAATCATGAGTAGCGTCGGCGATCGCGTGGAGCTGTATGATGGCGCCGGGCCGCGCCGTGGACTGCTGCGATACGATCTTGATCCGGTAGTGAAGGATGCACTGGCAGTCATCTTGTGTGACGTCACTAGAGTCTCTCACCTGTAATAAGTTGCTCTTGGAACACGTGTAGCAGCTGAGTGTTGTGCCAATCATGAGTGGCGTCGGCGATCGCGTGCAGCTGTATGATGGCGCCGGGCCGCGTCGTTGACTGCTGCGATACGAATACGATCTTGATCCGATCGTGAGGATGCACTAGCAGAGCCATCTTGCGTGACGTCACTAGTCACTCATCTGTGATAAGTTGCTCTTGGAACACGTGTAGCAGCTGAGTGTTGTGCCAATCATGAGTGGCGTCGGCGATTGCGTGCAACTGTATGATGTCGCCGGGCCGCGCCGTGGACTGCTGCGATACGATCTTGATCCAGTCGTGGAGGATGCACTGGCAGAGCCATCTTGCGTGACGTCACTAGTCACTCACCTGTGATAAGTTGCTCTTGGAACACGTGTAGCAGCTGAGTGTTGTGCCAATCATGAGTGGCGTCGGCGATCGCGTGAAGCTGTATGATGGCGCCGGGCCGCGCCGTGGACTGTTGCGATACGATCTTGATCCGGTCGTGGAGTGGGATGCCGCCGCCCTCCTCTAGAGTTGAGTCGGATGACATTGACATGGTGTCGTGTTGCTGTAGGAAAAATTGCGAATGAAAATCCTGTGAGAGAGTTGCTATATAATTTCTTGTGTTGTCAACTTTATTTGCTTGTGTTAAGTTCAAAATCAACGATTTAATGATGATACGGAAATAAAGGATCCCAACTAATATTATAAATGCGAAAGTAACTCTGTCTGTCTGTCTGTCTGTCTGTTACGCTTTCCCGCTTAAACCTCGCAACCGATTTTGATGAAATTTGGCATAGAGATAGTTTGAGTCCCGGGAAAGAACATAGGATAGTTTTTATCCCGGTTTTTGAAACAGGGACGCGCGCGATAAAGTTTTTCTGTGACAGACAAAATTCCACGCGGGCGAAGCCGCGGGCGGAAAGCTAGTTTGAAATATTTTTTCTACGTATATGATTCATTCCTTTCAAATAAAGCCATTTTCATGTAAAATAACCTCATAACTACTTACGAACACATCTTTATGGCGCCGTTCCGAAGTAGCTATCTCAGCGAGCAGGGTGCGAGCGTCGATTACAGCCTGGAATACTCGTAGACTTTCCCCGTCACTCGCCACAAAGCATGCCGAGGGAGAGTTAGACAGGTTTCCTAGAGTTGTGCTGAAATAGAACACGTTTTCTTTACTTAGTTGTAGGTATAATTTTAAGACAAAACTTCTCTATAACACAAAACTCTACCACTTAAATCCCACATAATTCTGTAGTAACTGTAAGACCCAATTTTGAGCCGCTTTGAATGCAATACAAAGTCAATGGGCTATCGTTTGCGTGCTCAACAGTTAGCACCATTGGCAAGGTTACAGGACCTAACTCTACAGTGTCGTCATACTATAACTGCTTAGCACCAATTGGCGCCACTATCTTAGGTATTAAGGCTTGGTATTTCTTCTAAAGTAGGTATTTCGCGCTGTCAAAATCTGCGCGCGCAATTCTTCGCCGAAAACAGCGCGTCAAAGAGCTCCCGCCACAATTTCCAGCTACACAGTATAGAAATACGCAGTTGGTTAATAATAATAATATTTCTTTATTGCACAAAACTTTTACAATGGTAGTAACACAATTTAAATATAAATATAAATAGTGCATTGCTGAAGGAGACACAGAGTAAATATACAGAGGTTTCCAAACTAGGCCAAGCCTGTATCTTGGAAAACCAATAAAATTAAGTGTGTAACTTGCAGAGAAAAGGAAAACCAGTACAACAATGCAATTTCTGGTGCAAAAGAAACATCATGAGTAGCCTAAAAACATCAATTTATCAGGTTTTCTGTACTTAAATAATCCAGCGAGAGTAACCACTTGCTTAGGGCTATCTTTGCTTCCGAAACAGAACAAGATTTTATATTACAAGAGCTTGCTGCCTTATTATAAATACGCGCCTTGACATAGTCACCAAATCTGCTTGCAAATCGAGAATTTACAGAGGGAGTGGGGATTTTGAATACGCGCTTTTTAATGAGAGTATTGTATTCATCAGATGAGATTAATCGTTTGTGGGCAATCAGGGTGGTTTTAAGGATGAACAACTGACGCACTGTAAGAACCTGAGCCTCCCTATAGAGGTCCGTTGTAGGGTATCTAAAAGGTTTCTTGAGCATTATTTTTAAAATGGATCTGTTTGCTCGTTCAGCTACCAGGAGTGAAGTCTTGGCAGCACTGCCCCAGACTGAGACACAGTAACCAATCAAAGACACGATGAGCGCTTTGTAAATAATAATCAGTAACTCGAAGTTGGCTGTATCTCTAAGCTTCCTGAAAATACCTGATAGCTTTCTCAGACGTTTAGCCAGCTGCTGGATATGGATTTTGAAGTTAAGATGCTCGTCTATCATTACTCCCAGGTATTTTGTGACTTTGATACGGCTAATGTAGTTACAAGTGCAACTTTGAGATGAGGACAGATCGCAAGAATGTATTACTAGTTTGTTTTCGGAATTAGGACTGGACGCTGCCGTTTTATGAAAACAGATGAAGTTAGTTTTAGAGTGATTTAGGGTAAGTAGGTTATATTTAAGCCATTTACAAATTAAGGACATTCCGAGCTCAGCATAGTGAAGTGTGGAGGACCAATTATTACCATTGAACAGAACAACAGTGTCGTCTGCGTAGCATATCACCTCGGCATTTAAAAGGGGTAGATCATGAATATCATTCATGTATATAATGAAAAGGGTGGGGCCAAGTATGCTACCCTGGGGTACGCCGAAATGTATAGGTAGAGAATCACTTCTTAGTTGGCCTACCCTGGTAAATTGTTGCCTATCCGAAAGGTAACTTTTAAACCAATCCAGCGCAAGGCCCCTCACACCCAAGCCCTCCAATTTACGGTACAGTATTTTTGTGGACACGGTGTCGAAAGCCTTGGCCAAATCCAAGAAAACCCCTACACATTGCTGGCCCTTATCCAGGGAGCCAGAGACAATCTCAGTGAGTAACGTAACAGCGTCTTCGGTTGATTTGTGGCGTCTGAATCCGAATTGTCTTGGGGATAGTAACTCGTTTTGCTCAATGAACCTGGTCAGGCGGTTATTGACAATTTTCTCCAGCATCTTGGAGAAGACACAGAGTAACGAGATAGGTCTGTAATTACCCGGTTTATCTTTAGGACCGTCTTTGTAAATAGGAGTTACCAGAGCAATCTTCCAGGATGCAGGAAAGCAGCCAGTTCCCAAACTCAAGTTGAATATGTGTTCTAAGGGTGCACAGATAATACTTCTAGCACATTTAACAAGGGCGTTACTGACTTCGTCTACTCCGGGCGCACTGTCAATTTTTAGTTGGGCAATCATATCAAGTATTTCATCTTGATCAGTTGGGTCGATGAAGAAGGAGTGTGCAGGTGAGTGTGTGTGCTTAACACTGGAAGCTAGATGGTCTTCAGTTTCTCCAGTCTGAGACATTATGTTATTTGCCAGTGACTGACCGACGCCGGAGAAGAAAGCATTACATTCGTTTAAGGAAACCATAGGGTTATTTTTATCTGAAATTAGGTCGTTCGATTGCTGATTAAGTTTAGAGTTGTAAGTTTTCTTTATAGATTTCCAGAGAAGCCTAGAATCTTTGCTGTTTTTTAAGAGTTCTTCCCTTTCATAAGCTAGCTTTACCTTTCTTATTATGTCAACGTAGAAGTTTCTATACCTACGATATGAAATACTTAAGATTTCATCATTTGGGTTTTGTTTAAGTTTAACGTGGAGCCTATCCTTGTGCCGTGAGCACCTAAGCAGGCCGGGGGTCATCCACGGCCTGATGACGAATCTCGAACGACTCAATTTAACTGTTTTGGAGTTCAGTTTAATTGATTCATTGATCTTTGCCATGAACGCATCCACAGCTTCATTAACGTTAGTCATAGAATATAATGGGTTCCAGTCAACTTCCTCCAAGTATTTGCAAACTCCGGTGTAGTCTGTAATAGTTCTAAACCTGGCTTGACCATTGCTGGGATGCTTGGATTTGGTTGTGAGAGCAAGCATGGCGATCCTGTGGTCGGTGATATCAGCGTCGCATACAACACCGATGGCTTTGGTTTTTGTTTTAACGAAGATGTGATCGAGACAGGCATCTAATCGAGTAGGTTTTGTGATAGCAGGTTCCAGACCATGCTCTGTGTAGCAGCACAGGTAATCAGTTGATTCTGAACCGAGGATGTCGATGTTAATATCACCGGCCACAATGATGCACCGCTGGTCTTTCGTAGTACCGAGAAGTTCGTCCAGTGAGAACAAAAAGTTATTAATGTTTCTGAAGGATGGCGATCTATATATTCCTAGGATTGTAAACTGATTGTCAATGGTTATTGATAGACAACATGCCTCACTGAAAAATGGCTCCATCACTACAGCAGGCCATGTGGACTTAACAAATGCAACTACACCTCCATTTTGGTTGATATTGTGTTTGGTTGAGTAGGAGTTATACCCAGGAATTTTTTCAATTATAGTAGATTCGTCAAGTCTGCACTCCGTTAGAATTAGGACATCAAAGTTAATATTTAACCTGTGGAGGTAAATCAAGAAAGCGTCGAGATTTTTAGCGATACTTCTGATATTCATAGTTAGTACGGTAAAATTAAATGTAGGGGTGATTACAGCGCCACATGACTCTGGGTCGATCAGTTCATAACATGGGATATCAGGAATTTTATCAATATCAGCAATTAGGTCTAAATTACCCATTATTAGGAATAGTTTTCATAAAATAAAGAGTTGAGTAAGCAGAATTAACAAGGTCAGCCGTCAGAAGAGAGCGCCGGTAGCAGTTTAATCTAGACAGTTTTAGGAAGCAGTGAAGTGTGTTTATAAATTGATGTTTCGCAGCAATATTGACAAAATTCAAATAAAGTTCTAAGCAAAAACGAGTTAAATTAGTAAGAGTAACTTGTGGCACAACAAATAATCTATACAATAAAAGTATTGAGTTAAAATTGAGAGTGTTTCTTAATAAAGAACAATTAAAAAGTAAAGGTAATAACAGCCAGGAGGCCGCGGTAAGTAGTAGAAGGTAAGCAAGAGTAACAATTGTTATACGTTTGTTAGGAACAGTTTAGAGGCTCCATAGGGGCTAAGGAGGGTCTGTTCTGGACCTCTAGTTTCTCCAGGACCGCTAAAGATGTAACGTGGAGAACAGAGCTTGTCTCGGTGCGACGCATGAAGATATTGCCGTTTGACGTCCAGACAAATTTAAAACGTAGTTCATTGCCCAGCTTTCTAGCCTTACTGAAGAGTATTCTATTTTCTTTCGTCAGATGTTCATTCAGAAAAACGCGGCGCGGGGTGCCCTGAAGGTTCAGCTTGTCGGTAGTGAGGCCCCGCCGGACTCGGGCCGCGCGCAGCAGCTGGTCTCGCGGCGCGCGACGCGTCATTGAGACTACAATGGGTCTGGGGCGGTCTGACGCACTTGCACCACCTCGGGGTCCTACACGCCTGACGTCGTCGATGTCACGGGGGTCCAATTCGACACCAAGGCTAGCGGACACCACGCTTACAAGTTGTTGCAGGTTTTCTGTACTATTTTCTGTAATTCCAGTGATCTCCACGTCTTTAAGAAAGCTTCGTTGTTCCTTTGCGGCTATAACCTGACGCAGTTCAGTCACTTCGGCGCGTAGTTCGATAACTTCAGCTTTGCATCTGTCCATTTCCTTCATTTGACTTTTTATGTCGGCTAGTTCCTGCCGAAATGCAGCGATCTCGTCCGTGGTCGAGTTTAACGACTTAGTGAAGTCAATCATTTCATTTTTCATTGTAATGAAAATGGTTTTTAAGTCAGCAACAGCATTGGTGAACGCAGACATTGTCTGGGCCGGCACCTCCATGGCAGCCAACTGTTGAGCAGACAACGTAAAATCGCAGCCGGCCAATTCCTGCTCAGGTCTCTGTTGCTTTGTTCTAATTGGGGTGTTGTCTGTTTTCACGCTCTTACTTTTCAACTTACAGATGGGGCAGATATATTGGTTTTGTTTTGTTCTAAGCACCTTGTGGTCCTCCCGTGTCATGTTCAAGCAAAGCGTGTGGTATACTGTTGAGCATTTAGAGCATGTAATGGTAGCTGCACCGTCTTCTGTCCCGTTCTTGTTTTTTGTAGACTTATTACAAGCTCCGCAAACCATTGTTGATGTTATGTTGTTATGATGAGCTTACGAAAATAAGTTGTGTCAAGACTCTAGTGCCCTCTATTGGGATTTATGAAAGCTATAGCGTGCGCCAGATAGGGCAAACAGCATCGAGCAAGGACCGGAATCGCAAGCAAGTGTCTCGCAGTGGCACCGGCAGATGGCGGTAGTGTGTTTTCGAGTATAAGCAAATCATAAAATATGATACTCGACCAGGTATGAGAGGTTATGTTGCAAAAAAATTCGCGAATAACATCAAAGTCTCACTTCCACAGTCACAGTAAACCGACACTTTCACACTTCGGCAGGTTCGAACTCAGGATCTACACGCACTGACGCCAATAATAGCACTTCTATGAGCGTATGCGGCACCCAGGTATTATAGTCCATTTCGTGCTGATTCGAGTTTACTTAGTTCCTTGAGATAACACTGGTGTAAGATATTTGTTCTGTTATACTCAACTATCACCAAAATGAAAGCAAAATTGTGCACTGGTTCAATTATAAATTAAGTTTGTTACAACAGCGTACTTTGATTGATGTTTACTTGGCGAGCGCCATCTGGCGAAAAAAAGATATAGTTGAACGATGGTAGCGCCCCCCTGTCATTGAGTTTGGTGGGACAGTTCAGCGTGGGTCATCTATATTATGACGTGACAGTGCATACAAATCTGAAGGTTATAGTTCCAAAATACTGAACTGTCCTATGCCTGACATTGACAGTGGGGCGCCACCGTCAATACCGGATCGCTTGTTCCGATTTTTGCCATGTTGGAAACCATATAGTTGAACGATGGTAGCGCCCCCCTGTCATTGAGTTTGGTGGGACAGTTCAGCGTGGGTCATCTATAGCTGACGTTTGACCGTCACAAAATTACCCTCCCGTGCCGCTCTCATGTCTTAGGCACTGACTGATTCAAGCACTAAACATATACCTAGTAAAGGAAGGAGACATAGATAATGTTATGGAGAAAGTGCGAATTGAATAAAGAAAAAAATCTTCTGTAGACCATGGGTTGCCAATAAAATTACAAATAAACATTAAACAAAGATTTGATAAAACCATATCTTTAAAATAAAGTTTAGTTAATTCAAGGTGACAGAAATAATAAGTGTGTAGATCCCTACACAGTGATCGTTAGTAAAACTATGCCAGAACTGATTGTAGTAAGACAGTAGTATACATCCAATAATAATAAACAATATCCAACGTTGGCGTAACCGAGGCATCATTCTTCCCTATCAAAATCCACTTATTCGTTTTGCTTCGCGTCCGCAGTTTATGTGAACGACATAATAAATGTAGCACAAATGTCAATTCGTATTTATGGCGCCCGCACCTACACCGAAAATAGACGGTTATATTCGATAAGGATGCCACTATTACGCACGATGACGTACTATCCATTGTAATTCAAACTCTACCTTCCGCGTGTTCTGTCAATGGCGTAGTGATCTAGCCTCAAGGGAGCTTTGCGCCCGACCCTGGACGCGTTGGCGGAACAAATGATAAATATTTTATGACTGGACTGGAGGATTCTAACTAGGTTTGAACAGGTTTGAATTTGCGCAAAACATACATAATAAATCCACACAGGCAGGCCGGAACTGGCCTTCAGACTGATGGCATCGCATTCGTTTGTTTCAGCCGTATGACGTCCACTGCTGGGCAATGGCCTCCCCCAAGGATTTCCACCTCCCACATCCAGGTGCCTGGATCTGGATCGTCGATCCACCTAGTGGGAGGCTTGCCCACACTACGTCTTCCGGCTCGTGGTCGCCACGCGAAAACTTTTCTGCCCCGCATCGCATTAAGTAAAATAAATCAACGATTTTTTTCCAGAATGATTGTCCGATTAGTATTTTTATTACAACGTGCTCTAAAGGTTATATGTAATACTGATTGAGACATTTCGGACAGCTTTTTCGTCGTTAAACATTTATACGTTATGCATAGTCGTTGCCGTTATACGTTATAGTATCTACATATAGGGCACCCCTGAAAAATAACCCTAGATACGTCAGCTTACATAATATGCCAGCTCATTAAAGGCATTCCAGCGGTTTTCATTCAAAACATTTTTCACAAACAAACCTATTACCAGCGAGCCGGATGGTGGGCAGTTCATTGTCGTTTCAATTAAAACAATAACTCCAGCGCTCAAATGAGTGATATACGACTGTAACTACAACTATTAGGTTCCTAGCGGCCGACTGACTTTAGACCTCAATAGATCGTCTTTAAAATGACATTGGAATGCGTGGGAAATCTTAATTTTATCCAGTCTCCTTAAAGTTTGATATAATTTAACCTTTTGTTGTAGTAAAAAGAAAAAAAAAGATTAAGAGTCTTGCCGACTGACTTCAGAGCTCAATAGATGGTCTTTAAAATTACATTGAAACGCGTGGGAAATCTTAAACGGTTTTAATCCAGTCTCTTTAGCAACATATAAGTGTTTATTATGCCTTTTGTAGTCACTTATTTTTATAGTTATAAGGAAAAAAGTTCAGATATATGCTACCCGTTTCAGTTAACGAAACAACGCGAACGCCCAAAACTTGATTATGTTTGTTTTGATTGGTCATCATCATCATCATTTCATTCAACAGGACGTCCACTGCTGAACACAGGTCTTCCCTAATGATTTTCAGACTGGTCGGTTGCTAGCGGCCTGAAACCATCGAATTCCTGCTATATGAGGTCAAATTCAAATTCAAATTATTTATTGCATGTCACATAGGTAAGGGTTGACAAGAACATAATATTGTACATGTGACGCCCAGTGAAGGCGTTGCAAAAACTTAAAAATAACGTTGCAAAATAAGGTCTTCTGTCTACCTTGTGTAATTGCGGTAGACATATTGTAATTCAACCGATCCTTATCTTATACCTGAAACTAGCGGCCGCCCGCGACTTCGTACGCGTTGATCCCGTGTTACCCCTTTAGGGGTAGAATTTCGTAAAATCCTTTCTTAGAGGATGCCTTCCTCATAACATCTACCTGCATGCCAAATTTCAGCCCGATCCGTCCAGTGGTTTGGGCTGTGCGTTGATAGATCACTATGTCAGTCAGTCACCTTTGAGTTTAAAACGCATATTTGGCTTCGTTTTGTAATACGCACCTACCCCTACGTTTCTTATACTTCCTTAGAAGTTTCTAGAGTCTTCCTCCATACATTAGAGTGATTCTTGACAATGGGCGCGGCGGCCGAGCCCGTCGGCCAATATTATTGTAACGTATTATTGCGTACATAACCCTGCGCTTTCGATACGTCTTCGGTAAACACTTTAGGATATTATTTTGAATACTTTGAGATTGCTAACTGTGTGGTAAATATGGGAATTTCCATCAAGTTTTGTTTATCTGTTCTAATACTATTGATTCTGATAACTAATTCTTGTGTTGTATTGTAATTACATTTAGAAACATTTTTGATATTCACGCGGACGATTTATCAGAGGGCTGTTAACTACTTCGTGACATGTAGCTGGATAAAAAGGGTCCATAAAGTGTATGGTATTTTACGAGAATATGGAATCAAATGCTTGAAATCAAACTGAATTGTTTACTTTGTTATTAAAGGTCCAGCACTCAGTCAGTGTCTGAGGTATACTCGTAGTAGCGGCACGGGAGGGATGACATTGACATTATTGTGATGTGACAAAGCGTATAATTCTCTTGGAGATCCTGATCGAGACATTCCTCAGGTCAAATATCTTCACTTTAGACTTTAATCCTTGAAAGGAGTCCCTTTGTACCTATCACGTGTTGTCTGCAGTACTAGTGGATCAGTGGTAATAGCCGTCTGAGCGGACGCACTGATTGCTCTATTGTACGAGGTCCATGTTACGATCCAAAGCTTAAAGAAAACTGTTTCTTTGGCACCAACAAAAAACAAATCATAATTAAAAAAAAACTTATACTGCCTAAGGCTGTATCAATACTTCTTTACTGGATAATATCATCATATCGCCAACAAAACGCGGAAGGAGACGTGCTGGTGGCAAACGACGACTAACGTCACCAAGGGGGTCTCTTGGTGATGACAGCGTCATCATCGGCACCGATCGGCTCGAATTACTCGCCTTGGGACACCGTCAACGCACAATTACCTCGTATCTTAGAATCCGTATTGTAATTAGGAGGCGAGAATTACAGCATCAATTTTTATACAGCAAGCGATTTTTATTTCTATTAATATCGTTAGGACCCTAACACTGCTTTAGATCTAAATCCTTGCGAGGAGTCCCTTTAAGTTTGCTATCACGTTTAGCCTTCGCTCCTTACCGTAGTGGATCAGTGGTAATTGCCGTCTGAGCGGACGCACTGATTGCTCTATTGTACGGGGTCTTTGCCCATTTGCCCAGCGAAGGCGAACAGATTGTTACGACATCACCGGATGAAGGAATCCTGGACGTCTGTATTCTAGTAAACAAGCCTAAGTGATTTAACCTCTAAAGTGAAGCAGTTTCTATCTTTTAGCTTATAGACTAAGAGCTAGTGAACGCCAGACCTACGTCATTTTGTAAAAGCTAAAAGTTTGTCAGCGTATGCTCTCAATATAGGTATGAAAGTTTGTGCATTACGAAGTTTGGGTCTTCGTGACTTTGACAGCTACCCTACAAAGATTGTCTGGCAAAGAGTTGGAACTGTCAAACTGTCTGGCTGATGAGGAAACTACTTTTAGTAGTAAACTATACTGGGAGTTTTGTTTCTTAGAGTTTTATATTTTAAGTAATTTTCAATATTATTACTGTTGGATACCAAATTTACGTTATTTATTTCTTTATTTCCAAAATACTATAATGCAATAACAAATAAATTAATAAATCAGAGAACGCTTGCATATTTTACTAACGCGCTCGATACCCATCCATTTGCCACAGTGGTATTTGAAGTCGCAAATTGGCTTTATTCGCCACTTACTCAGCGATCGAAATTGCCATACACCTGGGCCTACAATAGCCTACAATAGCGTAATCAATCAAAGTCACA